TTTTTTTTTTTTTTTTATTTTCCCCCTCTCCAGGGTGATGGAGTTTTTGCCTCCGTTTCAGCGCGTGGTACAGCCTGAAGAGATGTGGCTCTATAGAAACCCGTACGTGGAAGTGGATCACGTACCCACGGTACCTATGTTTGTAAGTTCAGCGCTTTCCTATATTTGCTTCGTTTTTTTCTCTAATTATAAACTGCCCTTTTAAAGCAAAGCCACTGGCTAAAAGACTTGCCTGTAGTTCTTAATGCACATTACTGAAAGTGCAATGCATCATTGTAAACTAGACAGCGTCTGCAGTCGTTTCTGTCATCTTTTCAGGCTTTACACGACATCAGGGTTGTCCTTGGGATTTTAACTAAGTTTATAAAAACTAGCGGGGACTTTTTGGTGGTGTTCATAATCAATTTACCATCCAGGTGACTAGGGCCATGGAGGACTGTGTCTCTATATGAGGGAACATTTTGCTTGAAAGCAGCTGTTTTCAGCAAAGTTTTATTAACATTTTATTGTGAAAATGTTTTCCCTGGGTCTCTAGGCTCCGTTAAAAGGGTTTAATATAAAACTGTAAGTGTTGGATTTCAAGCAGCCAGTGGTCCGTTGAAGGGGTTGTCTCTTCACCCGAAGCAGGGCTGTTTCGGTGAGATGCTGTGGCTCCAGGTTTGGGCAAAGCATCCGCTTTCTCAGCAAATAGCACTTTTGGTTCTCCGCAAGAGGCGGGCACTAAACATTAAAGGGCAAAGCCTTGGTGTAGCGTTTGGGTTTGGCGGCGTAAAGCATGACGTATACCAGAGTTCAGGTGGTGGCAGACTCCCTGGGAGCCTGTTGGGCGCACCGCGGACTTCCCTGGGGTGAAATCCCACAGCGGCGGTTGCCCATGAGATGTTGCAAATGGTTTTCTCCGAATCAGCAACTCCTGTAATTTTTGCTGATGAGCAGCGCGGGCGCTGCTGACAAAGAGCTAATCCTTGTGCTTGCAGGGATGGGGAGAGGTGAGGTGCTGTGGCTGATGCTGCGAAGGGATAACCGGAGGCAGGAGAGGAGGGAGCTGCAGGCAGGAGTGACGTGAAGCCAGCCAAAGCAGCGCTCTCGTGCCAGAGGTGCTGTTTGAAAGCTTGAGGATGTGCTGGGCTTTTCGGGGGCGGGAGGGGAAGGATCCGCTGCCCTGCTGAGCGTGTGCACGGGGTGGCTAAAGCACGCGAAGGAGTGGGATGCAGAGAGGGGTGTTTTAGCGCTCTGCGTTATTTATGCTGCCTGGGTTGGTTTTTTTTCCTCACGCTTTGGTACAGGCAGGGTCCAGCGGCCCACGAACTTGTTCTTGTACGTGTGGTGCTGCCCTTGGATGGCAAACGGGAGGAAGAGCCGTGCTCTGGGGAGCGCAGGGTTAGTCAGGGTTTGCTGCAAACAGCTGGGCTTGGTTTTGCTTTCTGATGGAAACGTAATTGTGTGCGGAGAGGACAGGTTGCTGCTTGGATTTGGGGAAGGAAAACTTATAGTTGTCTTCAGCAATTGCTGTCGTGTTCTGGTGAGAGTGCTGAAATCTGCTTTGCCAACAGACACCTAACAATCTTCTCGTTTCGTGGCAGTTCATCGCATTTCTGTCCCCCTTACTGCTCATTGTCCTGGCAAGGGTGTTCCTGAATGCCGACCGAGAAGACACGCGAGAAGCCTGCCTCGGTGAGCTCCTCCTTATCCCAGAGAGCCGCGGCCCCCCGAGGCGGGGGCTGTGAGCCAGGGGTCCCACAGACGAGCCCTTTGCTCTTGTGCCAGGGCTATCAAAGCCGAGCTGTGTGGCTCCAGCTGACCTTCGAGCACTGAACGTGCCTCGAAGCTACACGCTCAGGTGGGGACGATGCTGATGTGACCTCTCTGCTCTCTCCTAGCTGCCAGCCTTGCTCTCGCCCTGAACGGGGTTTTTACAAACGCCCTGAAGCTTGTTGTGGGGAGGTGAGAAACTGGCTCGTCCTACCTGCGCGGGGAGGGGAGGCACGTCTGCGCGGTGGTAGAGCTACAAAAGCAGGAGCGAGGGCCAGAACCTAAAGTTGAACGTACTCAGCCTGGAAAGAATGTGTTTTGTCTAGCTGTAAAGACAATTAAATATTAGAACAAACACTGCTGGGGACCTGCTGTCCCCGGGCATCTTTCAGAGGGGCTTGTTCAGGCCTACGCCAGGGAGGAGCGCTTTGGCATGCGTACAGGGAGCAGGAGGGATG